ACCCTCCCTTTATAACTGGTATTGATTAAACCCTCCCTTTATAACTGATATTAATTAAACCTTTTCTTTATAACTGCCATTAATTAAACCCTCCCTTTATAACTGATATTGATTAAACCCTCTCTTTATAACTGATATTAATTAAACCCTCCCTTTATAACTGGTATTGATTAAACCCTCCCTTTATAACTGGTATTGATTAAACCCTCCCTTTATAACTGATATTAATTAAACCTTTTCTTTATAACTGATATTAATTAAACCTTTTCTTTATAACTGCCATTAATTAAACCCTCCCTTTATAACTGATATTAATTAAACCCTCTCTTTATAACTGCCATTAATTAAACCCTCTCTTTATAACTGATATTAATTAAACCCTTCCTTTATAACTGATATTGATTAAACCCTCTCTTTATAACTGATATTAATTAAACCCTCTCTTTATAACTGGTATTGATTAAACCCTCCCTTTATAACTGATATTAATTAAACCCTCTCTTTATAACTGATATTAATTAAACCTTTTCTTTATAACTGCCATTAATTAAACCCTCCCTTTATAACTGATATTGATTAAACCCTCTCTCTATAACTGCCATTAATTAAACCCTCTCTTTATAACTGCTATTAATTAAACCCTCTCTTTATAACTGATATTAATTAAACCCTCTCATTATAACTGCCATTAATTAAACCCTCTCTTTATAACTGGTATTGATTAAACCCTCTCTTTATAACTAATATTAATTAAACCCTCTCTTTATAACTGATATTAATTAAAACCTCCCTTTATAACTGGAATTTCCCAAAACCTCCAGGTTTCCTGCTCCAACCCTCGAAATCCTACTTGGACAGGAGTCCCTGAGAAAATCTGGGATTAAACCAGTTCCTGGACTTTTCCAAAAGCTGAGAACGAGCTGCAACATTTTTACCTCTTGTGTTTTTGTGTTTTTTTGAAGATTACAGGTATAAAAAGGACGAGCTGTTCAAGAGGCTGAAGGTGACGACTTTTGCCCAGCTGGTAGGTACAGATCCCAAAAATCTCCCAGGAACAGCATTTTCCCTTGGAATAACATTTTCTCTGTGGTTCTGTAGCCTTAGGATAAAATTTTTCTGTCTTGGCTTCTTGCTACCCTTATATAAACTTCTTTTAATTAAAGCAAATCATTAATTTCCTGAGCGGCCAAATGCTTTTAGTCACAAATTTAGGTTTGTGGTGACTCCCTCCTTCGAATTATTCCTGATTTTATTTAAAAGGATCCTCAAACCTCTTAAAAAAATGTAAAAGGTGGGTAAAAAAGCACCTAAATCTGGGTTTTGTGTCAAGTGGGCACAGCCTGGGGTGGGCAGGTTGTGACTTCCAGGCTTATTTTAATTCAAAGTAATGAATCAGGATATTAATAAAATTGGGAAAATTGATCAGTAAATGAAGAAAATAAAAAAATTCAAGAAAATCAGTTAAAAAAAAAAGTAAAAGTAAAAAAAATCAAGGAGAGAGGGGAAAAGGAAGGTTAAACTCGAAGATATTGGAGGTTTAACTGCACAGGGTGGGCAGGTTGTGACTTCCAGGCTTATTTTAATTCAAAGTGATGAATCAGGATATTAAAAAAAAAGGGGGTAAATGAAGAGAGTAAATAAGTTCAAGAAAATCAGTAAATAATAAAGTAAAAGTGAAAAAAAAATCAAGGAGAGAGGGGAAAAAGGAAGGTTAAACTCGAAGATGTCAAAGGTTTAACTGCACGGGGTTGTGACTTCCAGGCTTATTTTAATTCCAAGTAATGAATCAGGATATTAAAAAAAAAGGGGGTAAATGAAGAGAATAAATAAATTCAAGAAAATCAGTTAAAAAAAAAGTAAAAGTAAAAAAAAAAATCAAGGAGAGAGGGGAAAAGGAAGGTTAAACTCAGCGATTCAGAGTCGGAGCTTTTTATTTATTAATATTTAATTAATATTTATTTATTTATTATTCATTTTTATTTATTCCCGTGGGGTTTTAATTCCAACCTTTTGGCTCCAGGCTGGTTTTCCCTGCTGCCCTCGGGATGGGGAGGGATCAAGGTGTCCTTGCTTTTGTGTCCTGCAGGTTCTCCAGGTCGCTTCCCTCTCGGATGAAACCTTAGAAGTGACGAGTGAGGAGCTGCACAAGCTGGAGGGTGACAAAGATATTGAGTGTGATCCAACAGGGGCAGGGTTGGGATTGGTTTTTTGGGCTCTTTCTTGGTTTTTTGGGCTTTTTCTTGGTTGTTTGGGATGGCCCTTTATTGGTTATTTGGGCCCTTTATTATTATTATTATTATTGTTATTATTGTTATTATTACTTGGGCTCATTACTATTATTATTATTATTTGGGCCCTTTATTAATATTATAGTTATTATTACTTGGGCCTATTATTATTATTGTTATTATTATTATTGTTGTTATTATTATTATTATTATTATTATTATTATTATTATTATGGCCCATTATTTTTATTTGGGCCCTTTATTGATTATTTGGGCTCTTTATTTATTATTTGGGCTCTCTAATGATTATTTGGGTTCTTTATTGTTATTACTTGCACTCTTTCTTTAGATTTTTTGGGCTCTTTCTTTAGATTTTTTGGGCTCTTTCTTGGTTTTTTGGGCTCTTTCTTGGTTTTTTG